CCTGAAATTGACTAAAATTATGTGGAATATCGTCTTTTATTCTAAATTAGTCTTCACCAAGACATGAAACACAGAGCTGAATACAGGAACAGTATATAGTGTACGTAAGGTGGTTTGGGATAATAATGCAAGTATATCATTTATGCACTCACAAGTAGCAGAGCCTTGAATGGCTCTAATAAATCAGCATACAAGGGTACTGTCCCCACTTTCAGATTTTTCCAGTCAAGTGTAATCAGCAGTATCATGTGAAAACAGTACACAAAATATAGTGCCCTATGTAGGCAAAATTGTGTAGTGAACACAAGAATATTGCTTAGTTTACTAGCTTCAGTGGACATTATCCTAAGGATATAACATGAAAGCGTTCACGGATGGCAAGGCATCTAGGAGCACCCTATAAAAAAATAAATAAAAAATTAAACAGTATAACATAAAAACACTCATGTGTTTCACCTCATAAAAAATGCTTTTTCAAAGCGTAGAAGTTGCTCCTGAGAATTGCTTGCATAGGTCATCATAGACATGAAGAAAAATAATTAAGACCATGTAAGATTACAACATATTGTGAAGTTAAAAATAGGTGCCTAATAAGTAGTCTAATTGTAAAGAAAACCTGATTAGCAGGTGTTTGTGTTATTAAACGGGGAAATATATTATAAGGTCTTTAAAAAAAAAAAAAAAAATTATATTAAAACCGGGCTCCAACGAAATGGAGAGCATGTGTGTGTATAAAGCAACAACCCATTCTAGGAAATAGACAACAGTATGGTGGAGAAATCTTGCTTAATAACATACCTTAACAGATTGCAATAAAAATCCACTAAAATGTTTACATTTTTGGAAAGTCGACTGATAGTCGACACTCATAGTGTACAAAATTTAAGCCCTGCGCTCAACCTCCTAGTTACTTGCACACTATCCAAAGTCCCTATACACATTTAAATAGCTGGAGAATTTTTACTATCACTCCAATGGCCATTAAATTGTAAGCTCACCTGCCACATCAACCCCATGTTCTCCCTATGAAGGATTAATAAGTGCGTAGTGGGTTTTGAAAAATACTCATCTCTGTCTAATTGGAGATTTTATCTTTCAGCTTAAAAAAGCAAGGTGAATTGTTAGTGTCTGACTCGCTTAAGAGGTTTTGCCTTGATGTGGCATGTGAGCTCACACTTTAATGAACATTGAAGTGATACTAAAAAAAACTTCAGTTATTTAAATGTGCATAAGGGTTTGGGAAAGTGTGCAAGTAAGTATTTTTTTTTTATCTCCCAGTGTGCAAACTGGATCCGTTTTCCTTCCTGGCTCCATGGATTGAGTGATACAATGGCCGTAACATCTGCTCTGTACAAAAATAAATAAAGGCTTTCTTTGATGTTCTCAACCCTAGCAAAGGTTATGGATGTTTCCTAAAGAAACATCATACTCTGTTTGCCATCACACTCTATGTTTCTATGTTCCTATATATATGAAGACATTGTATTTTATTGTGGACAGTTTAGCAAAAAGAATAAGTTGTGATTTATCATATTTTCAAGTATCTCTAGGAGGCAAACACTAAAGTACAGTATTAGGATTATGTATAGAAAATATATACAAAATACAAACAATTAAAAAAACAACACACATTTATCTTAGCTGTGGCAGGTTTGTAGGCCCAGCTAATGGAAAATATCTTCAAACCTCTGATCTCCTCATGTTCCACTTCTTAAACCTCCTGGCTCTTTTCCTCTGATACCATGGTGACCTTCAGCAAACCCATTCTCCTAGACCATGTGACAATTGAAGTGGTTATACTGGATTTTTGCTGTCCCCTGGTTGCTCACTCCAGACTCTGTTCCTTTGTCCTCCGATCTCCTTTCTCTTTTGAAGTTCCCCACCTCCTTTTTCAATTCCCTCTGTCCACATCTCTATCATCTAAAGCCCCTACTTCTTTTTAGCTCTTCCTTGATCATTTGCCAGCCTAGTTTTCTCTTTCTTTCTGTTGACATTCTATTCCCTGTCCTTGGCAGCTTCAGAACTCCATATGACCAGCCTTACAGTATCACTCCACATGAGGAGTATCCCATTTAGAAGACAATGTATAAAAGTTCTGATTTCTGTAAGCTAACAAAAGTGGCGCTCTATCTAAGCATGAGCTCTATGAGCTAACAAAAGATGCGCTCTATTTAAGCATGCATCCACACCACGCACTTAGACCTTCTCTGCGCATAACTGACCCCCACGACTAGAGAACACCACCGAGGGACACCACACGCTAGCGCACTCAAGAAGACAACATCGCACAACTATAACTCCTCCTAGGGCCACACTGCCACGGATCTCGATCCTGACCACATTCCTCTTGTTATCTTTATCATGGGGATCAGGAAAAAAGAACTACAATTTCAGGGGATCATACCTACCATATTGTGAGGGCCACATCAGCTACTATGCACCACTCCCTTGCCCGGTTTAATGCAACATACACTGTTCTGGGCAAATGCAAATATTACAAGTTTTAGAATGAAATATTGTATTCCTCAAACTGTGCACTTTAAGAGAGATTGCAAACTGACAAGGTGTTAGAAATGGAACATATTGTTTTTCATACATGTTTCTTTAAGCAATAACCGCTTACTTACCTTCAGTGCATAATATGTTTACGCCATTTTGTCCCAGACGAAATACAATAACAATAATGCATAAACAAGCTTCAATGCTATGCTACAACTCTTTCAGTACATAATATACTGCGGTAACCCTAAGTAGATAAAGATGTTCAGACTTTAAGATGCCATCTTGACCTAAGTCAGGAAAATTTCCATGACGTGTACACCCTTTAGTTATGGCCTTGTATTTTTGCCAAGGTGAGGTCCTAAAATGAATAAAAGTAGAAGTTACTTTTTCATATATGAACTACGATGACCCCAAAATGAAGACACGTAAGGTATAAATAGGTGTACTTTTAAATGTTAAGGCCCAGACATAGGAGAGATTTGGAGACAGATGCTCCATCTTAAAATGACAGGGAGGCTCACATGATGACATGTTCAGGCGGGTATGTTAATCTATTATTGATATTTGAAAGCATTTAGTTTAATCCTATAAACTCTGCTATAAATTATTGTAATGGATTTCATATGTCTATATTTATATTTTTATGTAATAAATATCTAAAAAGACAAAACTTTATTGCTTCCAAGACAATCCTTATTTTATATTGTATTCTCAATTATTTATATATTTTAAATAGAGGATCTCTTACTAATTATATAAAATTATGGCTAAGATATCAGTATGGTTAGCCCTGCTAAGTTCTATGCTTTAAGACGTTATAGTGGATATAACGGATATAAATAAGGGAACCAGCTGCGGTTATAACACTTGCATAGCCAAAGGTATAGGGGACAATGGGCAATAAGCATTGACACTCCCTACGCAGCTTATATTACCCCCATACCTACATCCAAGGCTACATGATGTACTAGCTAACACCCGTTATTACCCTTTGTCTGAACTCTGTCTTGTGTTCACTCTCATAATGTTACTGAATGTATATTGTAATGTGATGTATGGCCTACACTTTCGGTACCTTTTTTTTAATAAACTCTTACAAATAAAGATTTTTTTTTTTTTAAAAAGCCTTTCTTTGTCTGCCTTTCACTGCATACCCTTCTCAGACCTCTTCTCATATTAGCTTTTATTCTGAACTTTGTGCACATATGTCCACAAGCAGGCGCACATGGAGGCATAGCTTTCAATTAGAAAGTCTCTCCTGGGGAAAAGGGGGACAGCTTGCAAATGCAATGCACAATTGTGTTCATTGGGGATATATCTACTAAACAGTGATTTATTTATATTTTTCTGTATTTATAAGGAGTGTTTCTTTAAGACTTGTTTCAAGCACCTCATTCTTTGGTCTTAGTGGACTCTCTCTCCTACACACATCCTTATCTACAGAGATGTTCATCAACAGCACAACGCTGCTGGAAGAAGTCTATCATCACACTACATTTCCTCCACTATAAATTAACGGTATATTCTTATTGTCTCACCACTTCTCTCGCCAAGCAAGAATAATTAGCCACTCATACCTTCAAATATTTGTTCAATAACTTTAACTCCATACCCCGCCCTGCAAAAACTTCTCTCCACACTAACCTTATGAAAGGGTTAATGTTGTAATGGACTCTAATCCCCTCGGTTCTCGATCCCTCGGTCACCATAATCAACGTTGATGGAGAATCATTTGTAAGCAATAACACACGGACAACAGCTTTACAAGACTCTCAAATGAGTGTATTCCAGAGCTGGCTTTTATACATAGTTTGCTTACATTAGCCATGGTATATGCAAATACAGTACAGACTATAAGATTTATTACTTCCTTGTATTACGTTATTCTGACAATGGAAAGATAAGCTTTTGCATACGTCTGGAAAAGAATATCCTTAAAATCGGAATGGGCAAGACATCCTGAAATTTAGCATTGTCTTACATCCTATAGAAGAAATACCTTAGTCTGTCACAGTCAGCATATTGACTTTAAGTATTCAATATCCCTTCAGTCAGCAATAATCATGTTATAAACCTTATAAAAGCATAAAATACATATAAACAAGTTAACTATTTAATATTCTTACACCTTACAGCCCAAGAGTGTGTATGTTACTTTGTTGACAAGATTGACATAATTAGGAATAACATTGCTCTTTACTCCTCATAACCCCACACACAACCACACCAAATCAAGTTTGTTTCTTTTTGTGCTCTAAATTCCCCTCCACTCAGATACAAGCTATACGTACTGTTATATATATCCCCATTATAAAATTTTATAGTTGTCAGGTCCACTGCCCCACGCGGCGACCTTGCTTACCCAGTCACCGCGAGTGGTGTCACCTGGTCCCTGTCTGCGGCGTGCGGCTGTCGCCACCATCGTACTCCTGACTGGCAGTGTGTCTGACGCTGCACGCTCCAGAGCAACATGTATGCATACAGGACCCAGTCATTATCTGGAATCCAGTAGGGGACCAACCAGTAAAGCATTGTACCAATTATGGGCTGAATCATTCTGAATTTGTGAACTCACCTTAAGGAGTTCTCCTTTTAGGATATGTGTGGCTACCTGTGTATGTTATCTTTGGGAAAAATATAGTCCCCTGTGTATGTGGGTGCCCACCAGGTTAAATTCTTGGCAAAAAGATCATAAACTGGTACTGGTAATGTGTTAAATTGACAAGCTAATTTAACATCCTTTGATGATGTATGATATAATGTAAAATAACATGAGCATGAAAAATGTGAAACATTACCAGTTAACCATCCATTGCATTTACTGGATTGGGGTTTTAGAAGTAACCATTCATTATCTGTGAGGTTACACATTCCTCTAATCTTCTCTAGTTTAGGAATCGTTAGTGTGTTTTCTAATGCCAATCCTTGTTGTTGTATCCATAAATACCTGATGGCACAAGTACTCTAGTTAGCGAGATCTGTGGTGAATTTCATAGTTGCAACAGTTAAATTATCTAAATAATTATACATTGATTTATCTAAATCCAATCCTATAACCTGTGATTTAACAACAATTGGAGCCCAGTTTGCAGTAGCATGGAAACCAGTCCCTATATGCATGCTGGCTGTGTTTAACTTATTCTTGAGGGTCTCCATATCTATAACTATTTAGTATACCCATAGTGGTTCCAGCACCTCCTAACAGTGTGTCATACCATTCCCTTTTCTGCCTTTGTTTGTTGTATTACATAATGTTACAACAAGAGTAGTGACTTTTAATGACACATGTACAGCTTGTAAGAAGGCAGTTGTATTAACACATGTGGACGGAATAGGTGTGTGTGTGTCGTGGTTGACTTTTGGTTCTATGATAGTGGATGAAGGACAGTAATAAGGTGTAAAAATATAAGGTAGTGTATAGTTCTCAATTGCAGTGTCGTTCATAATGACTAACATTTGTCCCCTTCTCCAATTAATGATACCAGTTATATAATCATTATTAAAAGTAATAAGGCCTGTCTGTTTACATTGATATGCAACCTTAACTGTGCACATTTCTGCGTTATAAGATCTAACAATTTTCTGTGAACCTTTAAACAAACATAATGCATCGGTTTCATTAGCTGTAGACACATTTCATATGGGTAACTGGTACTTATAAGGGTTACTATTTGTCCAATTCATCCAGATGCGTTCAGTGAATGAATGATTGCATATTGCATGCTGATAGAAAGGTGGTGGAGAAAGGTTCTTGAGGGGGCGTGTGTGACGAATGCTAGATGAGGGGCTAAGGCCTAATTGGGCTGGGGGTATTGAAGAATTGTTCATCATGTCAGAGTCTTTTTCCAGAACTTGCCATTGACTTGTACTCATAATGGCATTCAAGGAACAATATCAGAGGGAGTATAACAACTCCAGAAAGCATAGCGCACAACATAATCTTGGTCTCAGGTACGTATGATCCTCTCAATCTACGATATGGTGTAAAAGCCATGATGCTTCGCTGAGGAGAAATTCTTCTGTTTCCGAGCGAGGAGTGGTGTTGTCTTCCTTGGTTCCCCTCTTTGGACACAGCTTCACTCGGGATGCGTGAATCCAGATGTCATGGGAATCTGTGAGGACAGCGGTTCTGGTTACAGCAATCACAGTAGCAGGTGGTCCAAAAGGGTATCCTCCTTTCTTGGTCCTGTTCAGCTGACGGATATACACCTTGTCACCGGGCTGGTATGAATGAGTAGGTTCCTGTGAAGGTAAGGGAAAACTGCGAAGAAACATTGTCATACATACCATTCGGTTTTATCAACAATTCATCTTGTGGGGATATATTCTTATCTCAGCTAAAATAGCTGGTAGATATCTAGTCCAATTTTCCCATGTTCCTGGGTAAATTCTGGGCTTTTCCTTAATAGTCCTATTCATCCTTTCAACTACCCCTGTATTCTGTGGATGATAGGGTATATGAAACTGCCAGGTAACTTGCAAGAATTTAGCAAGTTCCTGGGCAACCCCACTTGCAAAAACCGGGCCATTATCAGAGCCAATCTGCAGAGGGCAGCAATACCGGGGAATAATTTCAGTAACAATAATCTTCACTAGAATCTTCCCTAGATATCACAAAGGCCTCATGCCATCTACTAAACTGATTAACTATGACCAGTAAGTATTGCTGTTTCTTACCAATTTTGGATACATAAATAAAATCAATCTGTAAGTGTGTAAAAAGAGCAGCGTTCACACGATCTTACAAAAGACTGTACATGCTGCCTGAGATTCCTAATATAAAATGAATTCATGAAGAATTGAATGGTGCTTGCTATGTGCCTGACTGATGAAAATAAATCAGCTTGCTTCAAGTATGCCTATTCTTCAAGTATGCCTATTCTCCCCTCTTTAGAGAACAGATCATTTTGATCTTTCTCTAAACCTTGTTTAATCCAAAAGACAGATTCTGGGTATTTAAAAAAGAATCTCATAACCACTGAAGCGCTGGGCTGTCATGTGTTGTGTGGTGAGATTTGTCATCAGCTGAGTGACCTGGTGACTGGCATGAAGTATTGTAGGATGCCCTAGTGTGATAGTAGTAGCACTTTTAACAGCCATTGCACATGCTATCAATGCTCTGAGACACGCCGGCATACCCTGTACCGGAGCTCGAACTACTTTGGAAAAGAATGCTATGGGACGCATACCGCCTCCTTGCTCTTGTGCACAGACTCTGGCCATGGTTTTACAATTGTCCCAAGCATACAAATGAAATGGTTTACAATACACAGGTAGTCCTAAAGCCTGGGCTTGCACAATAACAACTGTAAGGGCAATATATGCAGCTAGCATGTCTGGTGACCAGCAGACATTTTCAGGGCTGTCAGAACGTACAGCCTCCCTTAGGATTGAGTCATAATGGGAGCATTCAGGGATCCATTGGTGGCAGTAATTAATCATGCCGAGGAAGGTGAGCAACTCCTTCCGAGTAGTGGGTGTTGGAATCCTCTGAATGACCTCAATACGTTTTGGACTCAATTGTCTGGTGCCTAAAGCCAGAACAAAACCTAAGTATTCAACCTTTGATTTACACAACTGCATTTTGTGTTTAACAACCTTGTGACCTATAGTTGCTGACAGTATCCACAGTGCTTGCCTCATAGCTAGGGCTACATAACAACAAATCATCAACATTTTGCAAAAAGGACGGAACCATGACCGGTGGTCCATGTTTTTTAGAGTATGTTGGAGTACCAACGAATAAACAGCTGGGGAATCCACATAGCCTTGGGTAAGCGTGTCCAGGTAAACTGGCAGCCTTCAAAAAGTAAAAACCATAAGTAGCTGTGTCTCTTGATCAATAGGTATAGAAAAAATGCATTACTTAAATCAATGACAGTGAAGCAAGTGGCATCATGTGGAATGGCTGTAATGAGGGATGTCACATCAGGGACAATGAGTGCAATGGGCACAATTAAACTATTCAGGGCTCTAAAGTCCTGAACTAAGCGATATGCTGGCCAGTGGTGTTGGGAGTGGGTCTGGTGTTGTTCTTGCCTACAGGGCATATTTTGAGAAAGGTGGGGTTGTTGGGGTGTGTGGGGTTTCCTGGGGTTTCCTGGGGTGTGGACACTCATTCCTCCAGTGGCCATATTGGCCACAGTTGAAACAAGTGTTCCTATCTATTCCTCCTTGGTTACCCCTGCCCCTATAACCCTGATTTCCCTGTCTCCATCCCCTTGCCCCTCTTTGACCACCCCTTCCACAGGCTTTATGTGCTCCATCCCATCCACGCTCTCAGCCTGTGTAGGTGGACTGTGTTGCAATCCCTGAGCATAATAAGCAACCTTACTTTCCTAAATCTTTTCTTAATTCAAAACAACCTGCATTTTCCTTTTCTATAACCTTGGTAAGAAAATCTGAGCTATCCAAATTGGCCCAGTCTGAAATCAATTGTTTCACAAGCAAAGAATACTGTGGCAACATATTACCAAGGCATGACTGTATTTTAAAGAGATCTATATCATCTCCAGACATCAAACCTGCCTCATCCTTCCAACACTTGTAAAATTTCTTTACAAAAATCATATTACCAATCTCTTCCTTTGCATCTTGCTTATATGCCAAAGCAGTGAATATAGACTGCTTATTCTTCCATAATCCCAACATTTCAGCTTCCACCTTGTTCCAAATTTTAGCACATCTTACTGAAGTACTAAGCTGATAATCACCAATTCATTTCAAACCATATAACTCATACTCAGCATCCCATGTAATATTAGTCATCTCACAAAACAATATCTTTGTAGAAACACATAATGGGTACCCAGCAGATATGCCAATACAGAAATCACATTTATGGGCACACAACTACACACTCTGTCTCCCTCCTAGGAAACACGGATACACACAATATAAAAGCAATCTTAAACTAACACCTCCAAATCTCCAACTATTCTTGGCCAAAACGCTAGTATTCAACAACTAATAAAACAGTTATTTGCTAGGTTATTTGGCTGTCATTCTTATCAGTATCACTAGACTGTGACAAACTGATTCACATATAATTTAAAACAACACAGCAACATATAAATTAAACCACTTTCAAGTTAAACTGCACACTTATCACACATTATCACAATCACCATTTACACAGAATAAACAGTTAACAGCTGTATTCAGAACATATTATTGGAAGGTATACCAATTTTAGTTTAGATTTATTTTAGGGATTCTTATGTATACATTTTCTTAATTAACTTCATTACTTTAATCTACTATAGTATTGTATTTAAAGAAAGGATCCATTTATATAGCGCGCTCATAACTCAACTATTTGTATAAAACTTCCATTAACTAATCTGAGATGATGCTGCATCAACTTAAATCTTATAGAAATTGAACAAACATCTGGACCAGATTAAACAGACATGGTTTCACCTGAATCTTTCAGAACTCTCAGAGACTTAAAAAATTTATACTATACCATGTTTTAAAGGCATGGCAAACCTTTAGACCGGTCAGTCTCCAAGAGCCCTTAGTAACACAGGTAAAAACCTTTGTCCATGATGTCTGATTCAGGCTATATACCACAATTTAAAATATCACATAATGTGAGACATAGAAGACACAAGCAGTAGTTATTACACTGGATCATTTAAAAGGAACCTGTTGCAATAAAAAGGTTAATTTACAGTGCAAAATAAAGCATGTGTTGGACCGCTGAAAATGTAAATGTTGCTCTGTTATTTTCAAACAAAAATTATATTTACAGTATGGATCCTTTGCAACAAACACACAGGGCAGGGAAGATGTGCTGATTGGTGTTTCTATACAATTAATCCCATATGGGGAATTAACTTTCAAATACTAATGATGTGACTTTTTGTCTCAGTTATAAAATATACTGAGCTCATCATGCAAACAATGCAACACATTTACACTATCCCACTCTCATAATAAGTGTAGTGGGCTTATAGTATTTTTAAAGCAACAATCATACCAGGCACACAGTTCCCATGTGAAATAACTTACAATAAAACAGAGTAATAAACTTATACTTCTATGCGACAGAAAGAATAAAGCAAAAAGATTTAAGTAGGTCTATCAGGTACAACCTGTGAGTCATTTCTTTTCTAATATACAGTACTGCTATCTTGCAAAAAGATAAGTCCTGCGCTCACTCCCATCACTACTGGGCAGCAGCAAGGACTACAGTACACATCAGCCCCAATATATGGTAAAAACCAAAGAAAAACAAGTTACCTGCGTTCTCTCCTTAATCCCTATGTATTTTTAAAACCTCCATTTGTTTAAAAGTACTGCTATCTTATATATACACATATACATATACACACACATATATACATACATATACACATATATACATACACACACATATACATACATATATTGGTCACTCAGGACATGAACTCACATTTCCCATACTGCTGATTCAGAGTGGGGACACTACTAACTTACCAAAGTGTGTCCCCAATATAGACAATCAATCACCCACAAAAAACACTTAAGACAAACAAAGGTGACCGGGAGAAAGAGAAGTTTGGGTTATACTTAAAGATCTACAAACCGTGCTACTCAGAACACCTATAGACTTAATAAACCGGAGACCTCTTATGGTCTCAAAACCTGTATCTACCTGAGATACCCTGTATCTATCTTAGATACTAACCTGGGTTACCAAAACCCTATATATTTAGACCAAATGTCTAATAAACCGGAGACCTATTTACAGTCTCAATATAACTAGAGTCCTTACACCTTTCCTATCTACTGGATACAGACTTACTGAACCAAACGGGGGTCATAGACAATCAGCGTCAATAAGACACAAAAAGGCTACTCACCGCAAATGGTTTTGCTGATCCAACTTCTATCCCACTTCTAGACACCAAGCTGAAAGGGTTAATGTTGTAATGGACTCTAATCCCCTCGGTTCTCGATCCCTCGGTCACCATAATCAACGTTGATGGAGAATCATTTGTAAGCAATAACACACGGACAACAGCTTTACAAGACTCTCAAATGAGTGTATTCCAGAGCTGGCTTTTATACATAGTTTGCTTACATTAGCCATGGTATATGCAAATACAGTACAGACTATAAGATTTATTACTTCCTTGTATTACGTTATTCTGACAATGGAAAGATAAGCTTTTGCATACGTCTGGAAAAGAATATCCTTAAAATCGGAATGGGCAAGACATCCTGAAATTTAGCATTGTCTTACATCCTATAGAAGAAATACCTTAGTCTGTCACAGTCAGCATATTGACTTTAAGTATTCAATATCCCTTCAGTCAGCAATAATCATGTTATAAACCTTATAAAAGCATAAAATACATATAAACAAGTTAACTATTTAATATTCTTACACCTTACAGCCCAAGAGTGTGTATGTTACTTTGTTGACAAGATTGACATAATTAGGAATAACATTGCTCTTTACTCCTCATAACCCCACACACAACCACACCAAATCAAGTTTGTTTCTTTTTGTGCTCTAAATTCCCCTCCACTCAGATACAAGCTATACGTACTGTTATATATATCCCCATTATAAAATTTTATAGTTGTCAGGTCCACTGCCCCACGCGGCGACCTTGCTTACCCAGTCACCGCGAGTGGTGTCACCTGGTCCCTGTCTGCGGCGTGCGGCTGTCGCCACCATCGTACTCCTGACTGGCAGTGTGTCTGACGCTGCACGCTCCAGAGCAACATGTATGCATACAGGACCCAGTCATGTGACCCGGCACACAGTGATGACCTCAGAGACCACAAGGGAAGAAAGAAACTCCTCCCACATGTTGTGGTTAACACTAATTGGAGGTTAGCCAATCAGACACACCCTGTGTGTGTATATAAGCTAACCCCTCCCTTGCCTCAGTGCCCTGTTGTGGTCTGTGTTTAGCCCAATAGCGCATTATACTCTGTCTGCTTATTTGGTTACTGAACTTTTTCTTATGTTTACTCTGTCTCTCTGTTTCCCTTTGACCTTGGCTTGTACTTTGACTATACCTTTTTATAGCCTGGCCATTCTAAGGACCGGTATAGCAATTCTATATGTTGTGTCCCGTCTGCATGCTTAGGTTCCCCTGAATATCTTGGTGCAATACAGAATACATACAGTTTATATAGTATATAAATGCTAATAATGGTCATGAAAATCCTTGGCATCTAGCGTGTGACACCCAAAGAATACCAAGCAATACCATAGGTCCATCTTCCCACCTATCTTCTAATATTTTCATCTTCATTTCGATGGCTCTACATCATTAAATACAAACTTCCTTTGAAGTTGACTGTGGAATGTATTCCATTATTCACTGTATACAAATTATATTAAAGGATACCTTTCATAAAAAATACAACTTAATAATAAAAAATAATCAGATCTTGGGGGGGTGGGGCTGGACCACCGAGCTGGATGGTCGCAAGTAAGATCAGCTCCTGCAAATGACCACTCTCTGAGCCCCTAAAGCATTATTCTTAACGAGACTGCAGACCGACAGCGATGGACCTCAGTGCACAGGGGACACTGGATCCAGGGTGAGGCTGGCTCTCCGAGTTTTAGTCCCCTGGAGGAGAAATTTTCATTGCCCCAGACAGGGCCTTCTCCGGCTGTGAGTATCCTGCCTAACAGTACCCGGCCAGAGGCCCAAATCGGCACGGACATGGCCCTGTTCCCCTACTCTGGACCCACAGGGGTGATCCCAGTCCTAACCCTGTGGCCCCGACAGCAGCAAGTCAACCAAGGACCAGCAGCATTGCCACTACGATCTTCTGCCTAGGCGCCTCACCTAAGATGTACTTTTATACTGTTATGGAAATAAAGTCTATGCTTCCCTAACAGGGATACACAGGAGAGATATGTCTTACAGCAAGTGTAACACCCACTACAACATTAATGATGCCTCAGCAGGAAAGAGGGGTAAATTAAATTGATATGAGCTTTTAATACTATTAAGCAAAGAAACACGTGTTTGTGAAATACAATGACGTAAAATTTAAGTTAAATATGTTAAATTCAAGCCAATATAACTACATTAGAGAAGAGTCGAATTCACTTATTTTCAGCATGGCTATTTCTCCTAAATTATGTTAAGGAAGGCCTTTATTTAATAAACTAATAACAAATAATTTGCTAAACTTATAAACATATATGCTTTAATAAACTTTTTGGAAATTTTAAAATATCCAAAGATATATCATATATACTAAAATATATCAAATATATCAATATATACAAGATATTTTTCTAAATATTAAATCATTTTAAAAGTTTATGCAAAAAAATTCAAAAAATTAGAAAAAGTGAAAAATATTTAGAATATTTCAATAGATATTGTCACTTTAACAAATTAATACTTTGTAAAGGCTGCAGACAAAAAATCTCAAAACAAATAAATAAATAAATCACTGTCTAGTAGTTATACCCCCATTTTTTCATTGGCAGTATGTCTAAAAACAGCTTT